ACGACTACGGACACGGCAGAGTGAACCTACTGGCGACGGAGTGCAGGAACAAGATCACGCAGAGCGGGACTACTGTACTTCGTCGGCTACGACAAGGATTACCACCAAAGGCTGGCCAGAATTGGCCAGATGGGACGATCCCGCCTAACGGCGGGCGGCTACCACGAGTTGCAGCTGGGCGACGACCTCGTGGTTGACCTCATGGCACGGGGCTACGGCCCCGCAAAGATACTCTGGCCTGGAGTGCCAGTGGGGTGGACGCCCGCCCTGCTCAGGGGGTGGGGTCGCGCCCCCTGAGAGCCCGCGCGGCCAGCGCGGGCGGGGGCCGCGGCGGCCGAGTCGACCGCGGAGCCCCTCGCTCGAATGTCCTCGAATGTCCACCTCCTTTTCCGCCGCCTCCTGATATTCCCTGCCATCCTCCCCCACGTGTTCCCCGAAGGGTTTCCACAAAGGCTGGGGAAACACATGGTCCGATAGCTTGAAAGAGCTCTTGCCACAACGCTCGGCCACAACGCTCGTTTTGGTTACAGGTCCCTGCCTGCCTCGGGCCCAGCCCGCCAGCCACCCAGAGGGACCCCAAACTAAATCTCGCATTGCTCAACTTGGCCCAGGATGGTCTGGGAGATGGCCCAGGATGGTCTGGCAGATGCCTCCATCTGGCCAACGATGGCCACGATAGCTCCAAGAGATCCCAAAATGATCTCTAGATGTCTGCACCCAAGACGGCCCAAGCTGCCCATGAAGCTCACATCATCGATTGTCCGTTGGCTGTTCGGTGATTGCAGCATTCTCGCCTTTTCAAGATTCCGACGCTCCAAGACGGCCCCACAGGCCCCCAAGATCGCCCCAAGAGAGCCCAAGAGGCCCCAGACGGCCCTACAGCGCCCAAAGAGGAACCCAAGACTGCCCAGAGAAGGCCCCAAGACGGCCTCCGAAGACCAAGGGATCCCATTGAAGCCACCAGAAGCCCCCAAGAGGCCCCCAGGAGGGTATTTTTGCATTCGCGGCGATAACAGACATTATGGGGGGGGCGGGGGGGGGCCCAACGTAACGCCCCCGCCCCCCACTGTGACAGACTGTGGTGCCGAACTCACTGCGGTAGTTCCGGGGCGCTATTGAGGGGCGGGGGAGCGTTACGTTATGGGGGGGGAGAGGGGAAGGGGCATAACGCGCGTTGGAGGTCACCAAGAAGCTTCACGAGGCCCCCGAGAGAAGGGGCCCCTTAGAGGTCCCCAGGAGACTCCCAGGAAGCCCCCAGAAAGCCCCAGGATGGCCTCAAGAGGCCTGTTCCTCCTCTTCATCCTCCTCCTCCTGCCTCTTCCTCTCCCACGTATTCCCCTAAAAGGTTCCACAACGGCTGGGGGAGCGCGAGCATGTAGTCCAAAAAGGCGTCACCAGGTTTCGGCCCAATGTTTGGCCGCATGGGCCTTTCCCAAAGGCAGGGGGCGGCGGTGATTCGCCGTAGGCGTCTTCGATCTTACTCCGAGGGAATGGGCGCGCAGGGAGCAGACAGAAACCGCACGCTCATTTTCAACAACTAGCGCACCGAAGGAAACCTAGATGTTCGCTGGCTGCAGAAGCGGCGCCCGTAAATGGCGCGCAACACAGGAAAAGGTGGCGGGCGCTGTCGAGAAGCCACCTCGGCTGGCCCATCGACTGGCCCGGAGAGCGCTCGGGACCTCACCACGGTCCGAAGAAGCCGTTGGCGTTCGCGAGCACCGAGCCGAAGAAGAGGATGGTGATCGAGATCACGTAGTTGTTCCCGCCCACGCCCCCCAGGCCCACGGGCGGCGGGGGCGTGGTCGTCACCGGCGGGCCGCCGAAAAAAATGCATCTCCACGGCGGGCGCGCGCTGCACCGCCCGGAGGCCCGCTGAGGCCGGGGACGAGGCGCCGACGAAGGACAGCACGAGGGAGCCCACCGACAGAGCGGCGAGGGCGGCGACAGCGCAGGCGATCAGCAGGGACGCGGAGCGGGCCATTGCGGCTCTGCTTCCAAGAGATCGCCCGGGAGATGCTTCGGCCAAAACGGCTGCGCACCGCTGACGAACGGCCGCCAGGCTGACCGGCAGTCCGCGGGCGGCCCGGGTAGCGACACGGAGCGGGCGAAGGACGGCCGTCACCACATCGGAACGCACCGACGACTCCGATTCAGCAAACTCCTCGGCGCAGCCTTACCCGAGACGAACTTGCTTACGTACCCGCCTGCGGTAACAACGCCCCTTCCATGCACTCCCCTTTTAGGCATGACTCCTCTCAATACCACGTTACCCAGTTCGGGCTTGCCTAAGAAATGGGTCCCAATTGTACCAGTGAGAGACGGCATGTTACATGAACGATGTGGGCGACCACCTTGGGATATTTCTCGGCGCGGGCCCAGCATGCGCGCAAGTATTTGAATATGGTCATGTGCTTGGTTGCAACGCGTTGCAGGGCACCCCACATGCACTGCGCGGCCATGCACTTGGAATGCGTTGTATGACTTTGCTCCGTTGGGTTTTGCGTTACGCTGGCTCTGTGCTTGCAATCCGTTGCTTGGCATTGCCCCGCAGGCAATCCTAATTCAAGACAGACTGCCCTGGACTGCCCTGGAGCATTCCAAGAAGGCCCTAAGTCGGCCCAGAGATGCCCCCAAGACGGCTTCCGACGTCGTCAGACGGGCCAGGAGCCCACCAAGACGGCCCAAGATGGCTCTAAGATGGCCTAAGACGCCTCCAAGAGAGCTCCCAGGAAGGCCCGAAGAGGCCAACATCATTGATCTTCCTGTGGTTTTTGAATGCTTTTGGCATTTGCTTCTTTCCGGCCTTCCGATGGCCCGATACGGCTCAAGAGCCCACAAAGATCACCCAAGAGGCCTCCAAGATGGCCACAGAACGGCCCAGGAGGCCCCCAAGACGGTCCAAAGACGGCCCAACGACGGCCCAAGAGGTCCCCAAGATGCCCAAGACAGTTTCGAAGACGGCCCTCGAGCGTCCCAAGAGGGCCCCGAACCGGCCCAGAGAGGCCCCCAAGATGGCTTCCGACGGCGTCAGGCGGGCCAGGAGCCCACCAAGACGCCCTAAGATGGCCTAAGACGGCCCGAGAGGCCTCCAAGAGAGCCCCCAGACAAGCCCGAAGAGGCCAACACCATTGATGTTCCTTAGGTTGTTGAAGGATGTTGACATTTGCTTCTTTTCAGCCTTCCGACGGCCCGAGACGGCGCTCAAGAGCCCCCAAAGATCGCCCCAAGCTCGCCCAAGAGTCCTGCAGGATAGCCCCAGAGCAGCCCAAGAGGCCTCCAAGGCGGCCCCAAAACGGCCCAAGAGGCCCCCAAGACGCCCAAGATGGCCTCCAAGACGGCCCTGGAGCACCTCAAGAGGGCCCCAAGTCGGCCCAGAGTGGCCCACAAGACGGTGTCCGACGGCGTCAGACGGGCCTAGAGCCCACCAAGATGGCCAACTAGGCTCCCGAGAAGCTCCCGAAGGCCCCCAAGAGGCCTCCAAGAGGGCCCCCAAGAGGCCTCTAAGAGGCTCCCAGGAAGCTCCCTGGAGGCTCCAAGAGTGTCCCCAGAGGCTCCCAAGATGCCCCCTCCTCCTCCTCATCCTCCTCCTTCTCCTCCACCTCCTCCTCAGCCTCCACCTCCTTTTTCCGCCGCCTCCTGATATTCCCTGCCATCCTCCCCCACGTGTTCCCCGAAGGGTTTCCACACAGGCTGGGGAAACACATGGTCCGATAGCTTGGAAGAGCTCTTGCCACAACGCTCGGCCACATGGGCGATTCTAGAAGACAGGGGGCGGCGGTGATTCGCCGTAGGCGTCTTCGATCTGCCGAGAATGCTGAAGTACCGGACAAGCATGGCTGGCGTGTTGAACGTCTGATTGTCTCGTTTTGATTACAGGTTCCTGCCTGCCTCTGGCCCAGCCCGCTAGCCACCGAGAGGGACCCCAAACTAAATCTCGCATTGCTCAACTTGCCCAAGACGGGCAAGATGGCCCAGGATGGTCTGGCAGATGCCTCCATATGGCAAACGATGGACACGATAGCTCCAAGAGATCCCAAGATGACCTCTAGATGTCTGCACCCAAGACGGCCCAAGCTGCCCATGAAGCTCACATCATCGATTGTCCGTTAGTTGTTCGGTGATTGCAGCATTCTCGCGCTCCAAGACGGCCCCATAGGCCCCCAAGATCGCCCCAAGAGAGCCCAAGAGGCCCCAGACGGCCCTACAGCGCCCAAAGAGGAACCCAAGACTGCCCAGAGAAGGCCCCAAGACGGCCTCCGAAGACCAAGGGATCCCATTGAAGCCACCAGAAGCCCCCAAGAGGCCCCCAGGAGGGTATTTTTGCATTCGCGGCGATAACAGACATTAGGGGGGGGGCGGGAGGGGGCCCAACGTAACGCCCCCGCCCCCCACTGTGACAGACTGTGGTGCCGAACTCACTGCGGCAGTTCCGGGGCGCTATTGAGGGGCGGGGGAGCGTTACGTTATGGGGGAGGAGAGGGGAAGGGGCATAACGCGCGTTGGAGGTCACCAAGAAGCTTCACGAGGCCCCCAAGAGAAGGGGCCCCTTAGAGGTCCCCAGGAGACTCCCAGGAAGCCCCCAGAAAGCCCCAGGATGGCCTCAAGAGACCTGTTCCTCCTCTTCATCCTCCTCCTCCTGCCTCTTCCTCTCCCACGTGTTCCCCTAAAGGGTTCCACAACGGCTGGGGGAGCGCGAGCATGTAGTCCAAGAAGCGTCGCCAGGTTTCGGCCCAATGTTTGGCCGCATGGGCCTTTCCCAAAGGCAGGGGGCGGCGGTGATTCGCCGTAGGCGTCTTCGATCTTACTCCGAGAGAATGAGCGCGCAGGGAGCAGACAGAAACCGCACGCTCATTTTCAACCACTAGCGCACCGAAGGAAACCTAGATGTTCGCCTGCTGCAGAAGCGGCGCCCGTAAATGGCGCGCAACACAGGAAAACGTGGCGCTGTCGAGAAGCCACCTCAGCAGGCCCACCGACTGGCCCGAAGAGCGCTCGGGATCTCACCACGGTCCGAAGAAGCCGTTGGCGTTCGCGAGCACCGAGCCGAAGAAGAGGATGGTGATCGAGATCACGTAGTTGTTCCCGCCCACGCCCCCCAGGCTGAAGCCCACCGGCGGCGGGGGCGTGGTCGTCACCGGCGGGCCGCCGAAGAAGTGCATCTCCACGGCGGGGGCGCGCTGCCCGGTCCGGAGGCCCGCCGAGGCCGGGGACGAGGCGCCGACGAAGGACAGCACGAGGGAGCCCACCGACAGAGCGGCGAGGGCGGCGACAGCGCAGGCGATCAGCAGGGACGCGGAGCGGGCCATTGCGGCTCTGCTTCCAAGAGATCGCCCGGGAGATGCTTCGGCCAAAACGGCTGCGCACCGCTGACGAACGGCCGCCAGGCTGACCGGCAGTCCGCGGGCGGCCCGGGTAGCGACACGGAGCGGGCGAAGGACGGCCGTCACCACATCGGAACGCACCGACGACTCCGATTCAGCAAACTCCTCGGCGCAGCCTTACCCGAGACGAACTTGCTTACGTACCCGCCTGCGGTAACAACGCCCCTTCCATGCACTCCCCTTTTAGGCATGACTCCTCTCAATACCACGTTACCCAGTTCGGGCTTGCCTAAGAAATGGGTCCCAATTGTACCAGTGAGAGACGGCATGTTACATGAACGATGTGGGCGACCACCTTGGGATATTTCTCGGCGCGGGCCCAGCATGCGCGCAAGTATTTGAATATGGTCATGTGCTTGGTTGCAACGCGTTGCAGGGCACCCCACATGCACTGCGCGGCCATGCACTTGGAATGCGTTGTATGACTTTGCACGGTTGGGTTTTGCGTTACGCTGGCTGTGTGTTAGCTATCTCGCAGCTTGCATTGCCCATAGAGCAGTGCTAATTTGCTTAGATTGGCAGAAGGTAAGATAGCGCAGATGCATGTCCCTGTGACCGTAGTTCTGCACTTAATTGTGAGCTCGCTCTATGTGCCTCATAAGAAGAAGGCGCTTTATTTATAATCGGGCTCCATTTGGCAGGTCCCCATGGACGATTCCGAGTCGTCAGGACGGGCCAGGAGCCGCCACGCAAGACGGCTACGAAGGCTCTAAGATGGCCTAAGATCTCAGGAGAGCCTCCCCCCCCCAGGACCATGCCCCCATAGCACCAGCCCGCCCCCCACCCTCATTGACTCCTCTCCTTTCCCCCCCCCCCCCCCCCCCCCCCCGCCCCTTAAAAACTTCAGAGCGAAATGCATTTGCTTCTTTCCGGCCTTCCGACGGCCCGAAACGGCCCAAGAGCCCCCAAAGATCGCCCAAGAGGCCTCCAAGATGGCCACAGAACGGCCCAGGAGGCCCCCAAGACGGCCCAAAGACGACCCAACGACGGCCCAAGAGGTCCCCAAGATGCCCAAGACAGTTTCGAAGACGGCCCTCGAACATCCCAAGAGGGCTCCGAGTCGGCCCAGAGAGGCCCCCAAGACGGCTTCCGACGGCGTCAGACGGGCCAGGGGCCCACCAAGACGGCCGAAGATGGCCCTAAGATGGCCCAAGACGGCCCGAGAGGCCTCCAAGAGAGCCCCCAGGAAAGCCCGAAGAGGCCCACATCATTGATGTTCCTTAGGTTGTTGAAGGATGTTGACATTTGCTTCTGTTCGGCCTTCCGACGGCCCGAGACGGCCCAAGAGCCCCCAAAGATGGCCCCAAGATCGCCCAAGAGTCCTCCAAGATGGCCCCAGAGCAGCCCAAGAGGCCTCCAAGGCGGGCCCAAGAGGGCCCCAAAACGGCCCAAGAGGCCTCCAAGCCGCCCAAGGCCTCCAAGAGGCCTCCAGGAGGCCAGCTGAGCAGCCCAAGAGGCCTCCACGACGGCCCTGGAGCATTCCAAGAGGGCCCAAGTCGGCCCAGAGAGGCCCCCCTAACGGCTTCCGACGGCGTCAGACGGGCTAAAGAAGCACCAAGATGGCCTATAGGCTCCCGAGAAGCTCCCGAAGCCCCAGGAGGCCTCAAGAGGGCCCCCAAGAGGCCTCCAAGAGGCTCCCAGGAAGCTCCCTGGAGGCTCCAAGAGTGTCCCCAGAGGCTCCCAAGATGCCCCCTCCTCCTCCTCCTCCTCCTCCTCCTCCGTCTCCTCCACCTCCGTCTCCTCCACCTCCTCCTCAGCCTCCACCTCCTTTTCCGCCGCCTCCTGATATTCCCTGCCATCCTCCCCCACGTGTTCCCCGAAGGGTTTCCACAAAGGCTGGGGAAACACATGGTCCGATAGCTTGAAAGAGCTCTTGCCACAACGCTCGGCCACAACGCTCGTTTTGGTTACAGGCAGGTCCCTGCCTGCCTCGGGCCCAGCCCGCCAGCCACCCAGAGGGACCCCAAACTAAATCTCGCATTGCTCATTTGGCCCAGGATGGTCTGGGAGATGGCCCAGGATGGTCTGGCAGATGCCTCCATATGGCCAACGATGGCCACGATAGCTCCAAGAGATCCCAAGATGATCTCTAGATGTCTGCACCCAAGACGGCCCAAGCTGCCCATGAAGCTCACATCATCGATTGTCCGTTGGTTGTTCGGTGATTGCAGCATTCTCGCCTTTTCAAGATTCCGACGCTCCAAGACGGCCCCACAGGCCCCCAAGATCGCCCCAAGAGAGCCCAAGAGGCCCCAGACGGCCCTACAGCGCCCAAAGAGGAACCCAAGACTGCCCAGAGAAGGCCCCAAGACGGCCTCCGAAGACCAAGGGATCCCATTGAAGTCACCAGAAGCCCCCAAGAGGCCCCCAGGAGGGTATTTTTGCATTCGCGGCGATAACAGACATTATGGGGGGGCGGGGGGGGAGCCCAACGTAACGCCCCCGCCCCCCACCGTGACAGACTGTGGTGCCGAACTCACTGCGGTAGTTCCGGGGCGCTATTGAGGGGCGGGGGAGCGTTACGTTATGGGGGAGGAGAGGGGAAGGGGCATAACGCGCGTTGGAGGTCACCAAGAAGCTTCACGAGGCCCCCAAGAGAAGGGGTCCCTTAGAGGTCCCCAGGAGACTCCCAGGAAGCCCCCAGAAGGCCCCAGGATGGCCTCAAGAGGCCTGTTCCTCATCTTCATCCTCCTCCTCCTGCTTCTTCTTCTCCCACGTATTCCCCTAAAGGGTTCCGCAACGGCTGGGGGAGCGCGAGCATGTAGTCCAAAAAAGCGTCACCAGGTTTCGGCCCCATGTTTGGCCGCATGCGCCTTTCCCAAAGGCAGGGGGCGGCGGTGATTCGCCGTAGGCGTCTTCGATCTTACTCCGAGAGAATGAGCGCGCAGGGAGCAGACAGAAACCGCACGCTCATTTTCAACAACTAGCGCACCGAAGGAAACCTAGATGTTCGCTGGCTGCAGAAGCGGCGCCCGTAAATGGCGCGCAACACAGGAAAACGTGGCGCTGTCGAGAAGCCACCTCGGCTGGCCCACCGACTGGCCCGAGAGCGCTCGGGATCTCACCACGGTCCGAAGAAGCCGTTGGCGTTCGCGAGCACCGAGCCGAAGAAGAGGATGGTGATCGAGATCACGTAGTTGTTCCCGTCCACGCCCCCCAGGCCCACGGGCGGCGGAGGCGTGGTCGTCACCGGCGGGCCGCCGAAAAAATGCATCTCCACGGCGGGCGCGCGCTGCACCGTCCGGAGGCCCGCTGAGGCCGGGGACGAGGCGCCGACGAAGGACAGCACGAGGGAGCCCACCGACAGAGCGGCGAGGGCGGCCACAGCGCAGGCGATCAGCAGGGACGCGGAGCGGGCCATTGCGGCAGATGCGCGCCGAGCGCGGCACGGGGCTCTGCTTCCAAGAGATCGCCCAGGAGATGCTTGGGCCAAAACGGCTGCGTACCGTTGACGAACGGTCGCCCGGCTGACCGGTAGTCCGCGGGCGGCCCGGGTAGCGACACGGAGCGGGCGAAGGACGGCCGTCACCACATCGGAACGCACCGACGACTCCGATTCAGCAAACTCCTCGGCGCAGCCTTACCCGAGACGAACTTGCTTTACGTACCCGCTGCCGGTTTAAAACAAACGCCCTTGCATGCACTACCGATGTTAGGCATGACTCCTCTCAATACCACGTAACCCAGTTCGGGTTGCCCTAAGAAATGGTACCAATTGTATCAGTGGAAAGACGGCATGTTACATGAACGACGTGGGCGACGACCACCTTGGATATTTCTTCGTGCGCCGGGCCCCAGCATGCGCGCAAGTATTTGAATTCTGGTTCATGTGATGGTTGCAAAACGCGTTGCACGGCACTCCCCACCTGCACTTGGAGGGTCCCATGCACTTGGAAGCGTGCCTGGGCTTTGCGCACACGGTGGGCTGTTTGCGTTACGGCTGGGCTCTGTTGTTTGCAATGCCGCTGCTTTGGCATTGCCCCGCAGGCAATCCTAATTCAAGACAGACTGCCCTGGACTGCCCTGGAGCATCCCAAGAAGGCCCTAAGTCGGCCCAGAGAGGCCCCCAAGACGGCTTCCGACGTCGTCAGACGGGCCAGGAGCCCACCAAGACGGCCTAAGATGGCTCTAAGATGGCCTAAGACGCCTCCAAGAGAGCTCCCAGGAAGGCCCGAAGAGGCCAACATCATTGATCTTCCTGTGGTTTTTGAATGCTTTTGGCATTTGCTTCTTTCCGGCCTTCCGACGGCCCGAAACGGCCCAAGAGCCCCCAAAGATCGCCCAAGGGGCCTCCAAGATGGCCACAGAACGGCCCAGGAGGCCCCCAAGACGGCCCAAAGACGGCCCAACGACGGCCCAAGAGGTCCCCAAGATGCCTAAGACAGTTTCGAAGACGGCCCTCGAACATCCCAAGAGGGCTCCGAGTCGGCCCAGAGAGGCCCCCAAGACGGCTTCCGACGGCGTCAGACGGGCCAGGGGCCCACCAAGACGGCCGAAGATGGCCCTAAGATGGCCCAAGACGGCCCGAGAGGCCTCCAAGAGAGCCCCCAGGAAAGCCCGAAGAGGCCCACATCATTGATGTTCCTTAGGTTGTTGAAGGATGTTGACATTTGCTTCTGTTCGGCCTTCCGACGGCCCGAGACGGCCCAAGAGCCCCCAAAGATGGCCCCAAGATCGCCCAAGAGTCCTCCAAGATGGCCCCAGAGCAGCCCAAGAGGCCTCCAAGGCGGGCCCAAGAGGGCCCCAAAACGGCCCAAGAGGCCTCCAAGAGGCCCAAGGCCTCCAAGAGGCCTCCAAGAGGCCCAGAGCAGCCCAAGAGGCCTCCAAGAGGCCTCCAAGACGGCCCTGGAGCACCCCAAGAGGGCCCCAAGTCGGCCCAGAGTGGCCCACAAGACGGTGTCCGACGGCGTCAGACGGGCTAAGAG